GAAGGTGCTGACCTGCATTGGTATAGGAAATTTCTGCAATCCAGGTTCCTGTTCTTATCCTTATCTGTATAGCACTTTAAAGTTTGCAAAGCTCTTTACACACCCTACCTCATTTGGTCCTCATAACCACCTTGTGAGATAGTACTCTTATTATCCCCATTTTAGAGATGAGGAAACAGAGGCCCACAGAGGTGAATTGATTTGCTCAGGGTCATACTGCTTGTAAATATGTGAGGTGGTATTTGAACCTGAAGCCAAGTCTAATACTATCCACTTCACCAACATGGCTCTCAACATGGACCCAGATGAGTAAATGCAAGGTCATGAAGGGGGGAGGGAGCCCTAATGAACTGGGAAGATGCCATTGAGGAAGAGGTGGCATCCCAGTTGAGCCTTGAGGGAAGCTAAGGAAGAGGAGATGAGAAAAGAATGCATTTGAGGTGGAGGAAACAAGAGGGACCCCTTGTGCAAATACAGGGGGGCCAAATGTGGCCAAATGTGAACAGTCGTCCTCTTTGCTTGTGGCTATCATTTTTTTCAGTTAATATATTCTAAATTATGTATTTCTATATTATAAACTGTATTATATATTATTAAATAGATTAAATATATTTTAAATATATAAATATATGAAACTATAATATAATATAAATTTATATATTATACAAATTAAAGATTATAAATCTAACATTGACTATCAAGAAAAACAGTCCAATTTAGTAACTACATGTAAATCAATCAATTTTTTTTTAAAGATCACACACCACCTTTTGAATTCTCCCTCCAACTTCTGATCAAGTTTTGTCTATTCTCATTCCTTACTTATGATTGTGGTCATTATGGATTCTTTTCCTCTTTGTGTTTTGTTGTTGTTTTTGCTTTATTTCATAAAAGGTTTTCCTGATCGTTTTTTTTTAAATTTGAATTTGTCATATAGTGATCTTTTTTACATGACTTTAATTCTGTAATAGATTGTAAGCCCTTTGAGGGCAGGGGTTTAAAAAAAACCCAAAATTTTGTATAAGGACAGCCTGCAAAATAGCTGTCCTTAATAAATGTTTGTTGAATGTTTCTGAATGAAGACAAACTGTGAGGTTCTTTGCTTGTCAGCTACTAGGACACAGACTGAAAGTGTGACCTGAGGAATGAAATCAGACTGAATATTAAAATTAAGCCCAGGAGAGGCACACTGGGTATTAATTGATTTTGTGATACCGACTCGCACGTTAACAAAGAAGCCTTAAAGATCCGGTGGATAATGATAAGAGCAGGGGCTTAATTTTCAAAAGCTACCTCTGGAGCCCAGTCTAAATCTTAGCTCTGCTTCCCAGTTTTAGCAAGTCACCTGACCTCCAGTTTCCTTCTCTGTAAAATCGGAGACTTGGACTGGAAGGAGGTCGAGGGGTCTTTTAACCCTGGGCTGGCTAGATTCCATTGCACGCTAGTTTAGTGTCCTGATTTCCAGGCCAGTGCCTTAGACACTCTTAATAGTCGGCTCTTGCCTCATCTGGCCCAAGGATGCCGGGGGATCCTTGCATGTGGAGTCTTACCCAGCGTCGTATATGTGAGTGGGTATAAGCGGTAAATTTGGGATCAGAGCGTTTGATGGACAAAAAAGCAGTCTTTAACCTTAGGAGCGCCAATGTCGACTGACCGGTTGCACTTTTTTGCTCCTAACTAGTGGCAGCGTCTAGCAGTGTTGCCAGACTGGATGCCATGATTACAGTCTCGTAGCTCCGACTGTACAGAAGGGCGGATCAGAACCTTGGGGTGCCGGCGAATCTGCTACATCAGTGTCAACCACGTGTGCGGCCGCTGCGACAGCTGCCAATATCTACCCACCTACCTTGGGAGTGATAGGAGGGGTGTTGCGGCAGCCATCCAGAAATCTAAAGATTCGCGTCTTCTCTCTACCCTCTCGTTCTTTCGGCTCTCTCAGGAAGAAGTCTGGCTGCCTTACACCCTTTGCCACGAGGAAGACAAAGGTCAGGAGCAAAGCGATATTCAATTCAACGCAACAGACATTTGTTATGTTTAAACACCGATCGTGGGCAAGGCGCTGTGCTAGACACTGCCGGGGAGACAGACTTCACGTAATAATAGTAACTTAGGTGGTGCTGTGGATAGAACATCGGGCCTGGAGTCAGGAAGATCTGGCTTCAAATCTCAGACACTTCCTAGTTGTGTGACCCTGGGCAAGTCGTTTAACCCCTATTTGCTCAGTTCCTCATCTGTAAAATGGGAACACACTGGAGAAGGAAATGGCAAACCACTCCACTATTTTTGCCAGGAGAAGTCATGTACAGTCGGGACTCCACTGAACAACTTTATACTTTTCCTCTCCAGTCTCACTGAGCATTTTATTTTGATCCTCATTAAGTTATCATGTATTAGCTTTTTCTATACGTATGTATTTCCTTTTTAGGGCAGGATGTTATCTGTTCTTTGTATCCTTTATCTTATTCCTAGCACTGTACTTGGTACATACTAGGCTTTTGGGGTACAAACCATTTTCAGGCCAGAAAATTCCTTCTTGGGTTTTCGGAGGCTCTGGTAGACATCAGAGCCTAATTTTTAAACTGTGCTCAGATTGTGCCCAACTGTTTGGCTAGGGACTGCTCCCAAGAGATCTGAGCAAATATTCTAATCAGAATTTTGAATTATTATGCTTCTAGTGTCATAATCGATACTTAGATATATATCATGCTTATTAAGTATCAGAGTACCAGGCTGGGTAGTCAGGGTGATAAAGAATTCTCAAAAGAATAATAGGATCACAGGACTTTCAAACCTAGGGCATATGTAGGGATGGAGTTGTTTGAATAAATCAATCAAGTCACCCCATTCCACTTTAAGTGATAAGATATTGGATGAGTCTATGAGGTGAGAATCAACTAATCAAACTAACATTTTAGATTTAGCTCAAAATATTCTTGGATGAACTGGAGTGAAATTGATGGGAAGTGTTTGAATTGCTTGAGGAGACTTAGTTATGGCCTGTGGGTCATTATAAAATAGACCAGTTCAGAACTCAGTTTATTACGGCATCTGGTAGAGACAGCAGCAAACCAGGCAGTCTTCCAAGGAAACCTCTGACTCCTGAACCAGTGGTCATTTTTCTAGACTACACACAGCCTCCCAGTAGTTTCCTATTGAGTATAACTAGATCTGTGGTGACCATGAACATCTCACTTGGGATACTCTCTTGTGCTAGGTATCAATAGCAATTCCAAGATGTTCCAAAAGTCTTGGTGTGGTTTTAAGCTACTGCAGTTTAAACATTAAGACTTTTGGGATACCCTGAATATAGGATGGCAATTTTTTTTTGTCTTAAAAAATTATTCTGCATTTAATAGATGAATAAAACAGGCACTTCCACCTACAAAGAACCCCAAAAAGAGGATTGTCAATGAAACTGCAAACCCCTATTTTATACAGCATGCTTTTCCTTTTAAGCATGTAATAAATTTAATATGTAACTTTTTTTTTTTGGTGACTCAATAGGGGTTAAGTGACTTGGCCAGAGTCACATAGCTAGTGTCAAGTTTCTGAGGCCAAATTTGAACTTAGGTCCTCCTGACTCCAGGGTCAGTGCACCTCCTAGCTCCCTCTAATATGTAACTCTTTCAAACCTGTTCTACTTGTATGATTCTGTTCTCTTCAGTGAATTAAAATGAAAAAATGCTTCAATGACTCTACCCTCACTCTCTCACCTGCTTTGTAGTGTGGTAATCTTGTAAAAATTAGGTAAGAAAATTAGCCTTGACATTGAAGCAGCTTTTCCAGGAGGGGGTTGACCTATCCTGCTTTATGTCACACCAGGATTATTAGGGATAACTATGTCTCTAGGACAGGGGGACTTGTCTTGTCATAAATACAAGAGGTCCAATGCCTAGGCCCCTGCCCTAAGTACGTGCAAGGCCCCTGACCAGTATGTGTGGAGGACAATGATGAAACATTGAAAAGATGAGGTTTATTTTGGGCTGTCCCCCAGTCCCACCCATTGTCTTCCTTCTTCCCCTCTCAGAACCTACTCCTGGGAGATCGAAAAGCTGATTCACATTGGCATCACACACAGTAAGAATCCTCCAGGACAGAAGTGTCAAACATGCATGTTGCCCCTGAAACACAACAAAATAAATAGAAATACAATAAAACAGGTAACATTACATTTTAAAACTAGGTTAACGTGCAGCCTAAGGATCCTATGTGCGGATCGATGGCCCCCGTTTCTGTTTCAGTTTGGTACCACTGCTGTGGGACTTCTCTGTCATCACTTGGTCACGTCGGGTGGAGGGGGAAGGTGTGGTCATGCAAGTTGGTATCTTCCCACGTCAGGTTTCTGGGTTCTTACAGGATTAAAGCCCAAGTCCCTGTCTCTCTCTGACCTTTACAGATCTGGGAAGGCTCAGGGCTCAATAGAGCATCTTAATGAGACCAGGTAGGGCAGGAAGCTTGTTTATTTGAGACAGAATGGCCACTGGGGTGATAGAATGTGAGCATATGTAAGAAGGACTTTGCAGCAGGGCTATCTCCCTAAGACTGCAGGTTTTTTACCAAAGGCCTTGGCATTCCTTATCTCCCATTAGTTCACTAATAAAGCTACCTTGCTGGGCTATGCATAGTACTGCTGTACCTCTTAGAATTGATTTCAAAGTAACCCACACTAAGATATTTGAGTACATATATACATATAAAAGACTGATTGCCATATATTGTTCCCTATTCCCAGGACATTTGAATTGAAATACGAATCAAAGCTGTATCACTCTGGAATTCTGGTTTCAGTAGGTGTGAGAGTAGAAAGTTTTCTGATTTTCTTTGTTTCTTTTTTTTTAAACATAGGGGTGTGGAAGGAAGCTTTTGGCTCTGAAATCATACAACCTGGAAGAATATGAGTTTTGGGGTCCCTTTCCAGGTCTAGATCTTATGCAACTTGCTTACTGTGCAAAATCAGTCTGGCATTGCATGTTTTGAGGAAAAAACCCTATACAAATAAGTGAAATTTGGCCATTATTTATTTAAAAATGTATCAAAGCATCTTGGGGGCACATTTAGTCACAAACACAAAGTGGAGCACAGCTATCACTTAATAACATTTGTATAACTTGGTTCCATCTGTGTTTGCTATGACTTTAGTCTGTACAGGCAGAGAGCGTGAGGAGGGGTTGTGATGACGACTTGGTTCTCAGAAGGAGGCCTGATGTAGTCAGAAATCCAGGTTAAAACATTAAGTCTTTTCAACTGAGACTGAGTTTTTCATGATTTTCCCAGAGCCAGTCATGATATTTGTTTAACTTGTGGTCTTCAGGATGGACCTGGAAGAAAAAAAAGGAGGAAAAAAGAGAAGCCGAAGCTGAAACAAATCTAAGCTATTAATTTCTATTAAACACATTCTTAAAGCCCCAGTGGGATGCAGAATCATTCGAATTGGTCATCGGTGTCATGCCATGGTTCATTTTTAGTTTGGAGGCACATCTAATAGGGATAACTATAAAGAGGCAACGCAGGAGAGTGAAAACAACGCTAGATGGGAGTCAGAAAGCCTGGGTTCGAATCCTACCTCTGCTGCTTATTACCTATACGACCATAGGGAAGTCATCTAAATCTTCCTGGGCCTCAAATTCTTCATCTGCAAAATAAGGATGAACTCAAGGGGGGGAGCAGGAGGGTCTCAGGGCTGAGAAGGTGCAGAAAGAAGCCACTGATGATATATTTTGTGGACAAAAAGGGAAGATGTGAGCTGGATCACAGGCCATTTAGGGGGACTCATAGCTATACAAACAACCAAATGGAAGGAAACCTCTCAATGCAGAGGGAGACTTCTAGTGTGTCCCACAGGGTTCTTTCATCTTTTCAACACTGATGGATAAAGCCAGAACATGCTAATTAAATTTATGAGTGACACTCACCTGGGAGGTAAAGCGTATACATTAGATGACAGAAGTGAGATCCAAAAGGATTCCTAAGGCTACAGAGAGAAGCTCAAATCTAACAAATTAAATACTAATCTATTAAAGCTTAAAATGGCACTAAGGTTTTCAGTACATCCCATATAATAGGATTGAAAGGCCAATCTTGCTCTCAGGGACTTCTCCATTTTAGAAAAAGTCAAGTAGAGGATGTTGGGGATACAGTGGCGGCTCACAAGACAAAGCCCTAGGGAGGAGTTCACTGATTGAACTGTCGGTATCAATCAGCAGCATGACTTAGTTGTCCCCCCAAAATAAGGAATGCCACTGTAGGCTGCACTGACTGAAGTCCATGGTGCAGTAGCCCTATTGTGCTCTATGCTGGTTAGACCTACCACATCTGGAGTGCTGTGCTCTACCATATGAGCAATGTTGACAAGTCAGAGCACGTCCTGGGGAGGGGGACCAGGATAGTGAAGGGACTTAAAACCATCTCATAGGAAGAAGTAGAGGGACCCAGGGAGATTTTGCCTGGAGACAAAGCAATTTAGGCAAGGGATAAATACCCCTTAAATAATCAAAGGACTGTCGTGTGGAAGAGGAACTAGATGGGTTCCGCTGCTCCCTCACAAGGAGAACAGTTCTCCTTGTGAGGGGAAAGGCCCCCCCTGCCACTGCTGGGGGTGTCAGAGCAGAGCGGGTAAATCTTGTGAAGGCTGCTATCACCAGCCTGGCTCATAGCTCACAATGGAACAGCACCTGAGGGTTCACAAAGCTCTTTCCTCAGAATGACCCTCAAGCTGAGGTTACCCAAGCATCACAAGGATAATCTTATGTCTGTCTTACACATGAAGAAATAGAGGCAGAGAGAAGGAAAGTGACCCGCCAAAGGTCACATGGCTAGAAGGCAACAGAGTTGGGATGAAAGCCAAGGCCTCTGGATTCCGAGCCCTGGACTCTTCCCACTTCCCACCCATCTACAGGGAGGTGAGAGTCAATCAGGTAGGACTGGACTGCCTGGCCTATAAGGTTCAGGCAGTTGGCTGAAATGAGCGGCGTTTCTTCCTCAGATACAAAGGTTCTTGCTTGGTTAGGCTTCTGGGAATGGGAGGTTCCTCACCTGCTTCCATTCGTTGACACAAAAAATTCTGTACGAGTCGTTGCCGTATTTTCCAATCCCGTGCAGTTCGATTGGGTACTTCCACTGTTTGGTCAGATATTCATCTAGAGAAAAGACTCATGAAATAAGCAGGCTGAACAAGCCCCAAGAAAAGAGAAGGCAAAAGGCCAAGAAGTCTTCCCCATCGACCTTGGCGTTTAGCACGGATCTGACACCCATTCATTCATGCACTCACTCATTCACCACACACTAAGGCAGTGAGATCTAAAGTGAGAAGAGGCCATGCACTCTCCCTTCTCCCAGTGACTGACACTTGCTTTCTAGGACATCCATTTGGCACTTTTTGTCATCTTTTTGTTTGTTTACACTTTTGATGGGCAGCTAGGTGGCACAGTGGATAGAGCGCCAGGCCTGGAGTCAGGAAGACCTGAGTTCAAATTCAGCTTCAGACACATACTAGCTGTGGGGACCCTGAGTCAAGTCACTTAACTCTGTTTGCCTCAGTTTCCTCATCTGTAAAATGAGGTGGAGAAGGAAATGGCAAATCACTTTAGGATTCCTGGCAAGAAAACCCCAAATGGAGTAGTGGAGAGTTGGACATGGACATGACTGAACAACAATACCTCTTTTGACCTTCAATTAGACTTTAAGCACCTGGTGGGCAGGAACTTGCCTCTGATACTGAGTCTTCCCAACAGCCTGTCAAAGTGATGGACCCTTATTAAGTGCTTACTATTTGTTGTTTGACCTAGTGGTAAACCGAGGCTCAGGACAGGTAGGATGGTTTTAAAATCTCGCTTCCATTCCTGGGCTAAATGAATGCATTCCATTAATATGGTATAATAGGATGCTACCATTTTAGCTGTGGTTGTCTTTGAAGGTTTGACCTTTTCACATTCACTGTAAAGTACCTGAGAATTTGATAATTGTTTTGGCTCTAAGATCGTAGAGGCCAAGAGGCTTGAGGAGGTCTGATACATCCTTCCAGTCTGCAGCTCTTGCCACCTCAGCAGAAGGGTATCTCTCCAGAAACTCCCAGAGCACAGGGATTGCCATCTTACCTAGACAAAAACAGCAGCTAGTGAACACAGTCACTTTTCTGTTTGTTTACCTCTCATCAGAGATTATGAAGCTCAAAGCAGATTTACTTTCGTTTGGAAAAAAAGATATTCTGGAGTTGAACCATCATGCTCCTGGGAAGGTTTTTACTGATGATACCCAGAGAAATAGGGTGATCTGGCCACAATCAGCCCTCTCTGCTTGGCCAGGCTAGGAGAGGCTGCCTCTACCAGTCATTCCTGAAACCAGCAACTACCTGTACTAGAAAACTAAGACTTGTTGCCTAATAGCTTGAAACATATAAAACTGATTAGTCACTAATGTGATATTAGTTGTTGAAGGATATATATATTAATTATACCTTCCCCCTCTAAGTAACAAAATGATGAAATTATAGTAACCCCCCAAAAAACAAAACAAAACAAAACAAAATAAAGCAGAAATGCCAAATGATATTAAGGAACTTCTAGATAGAAATATGCAATTGAGATGTGGGACTTCTGGTGGTCTATCAGAGTGAGTGCCCACAACTAAGGCCAGTCTCCTTGATCACAAAAAGAATAACAAATGCAGCGAATGCAACTGAAGATAAAAACAAAAAGAGAGTGAAAAGGACAGAAATCTTTAAAAGAAAAACCTTAAAGGAAAACTAACAGAAAGTCTAAAGAAATAAATACAAGAAAATGAGAACTCTCTAGAAGACCAGAATAAGACTGACATCACCAGACATACTGTAAGAAGGTACAGGGTTGTTAAGAATCCCAGCAAGCCCTCTGACCCAGAGATTACCCTGAGAGGCTATTACGAGGACAGTGATAAAAAGAAAGGCCACATGGACACTACCATGGTCATAGAAATACTTTTTTGTCGTGCTGAAGAACTGAAAATAAGGTCCATGCCCATTGACGGGGGGATGGCTCCACAAGTTGCGGTACCTGGATGTAGTGGAATATTGTAAAAATGTAACTGTAAAAAATAACAAATCCGATGACTGTCGAGAAGCATGGGGAGAAGAGTCAACTGATGCAAAGCAGGCAGAACCAGGAAAACAATATACACAATGACTAAAACTACGGATGTGGAATGAATGAACAGCAAAATAATCAGAACTGATTACAGTGAAACTGTAATGACTAAACTTGTCCACAAAGGGCAGAGAGAAGAAAGCACGTCCCCTGCTTCTTTGCAGAGAGGGGGAGTGATAGGTGCAGTACGCTGTACATGATGTCAGACTTTTTTCAAGGTGTGAGTCTTACTCACACTCACTCTTACTTTTCTCTTTTTATCACCAAGCACAAAGGGGAAAATAGCTGAAACAGTCTCTGCTCTTCTGTGGAGCTTGGATTCTAATTGGGGAGGTAATACAAGGGCTGGACGGGCAAACCCAGGGGTTTCAAGGTGCAGTGGCAAGCCAGATGACTGGAAATAAGATTGTTCATGGAATTCAAGCTGAAGAACATAAGAAGTGACTATTTAGGAAAGATGATAGAAAATCTCACTGAAGCCTTTCTAAGTAAAATGGCTCTGAGACGGAGAAAAAAATGAAAGATGGAAGAACAAACGAGAGAAAAAATGTTTTAGAAATGGTGAAACTTGAAGAGCCTAAGGGCTCAACAAAGCAAAGCAACAGACAACAGAGCTTGGGGACACAAGCTGAGAATTACTGGTTTCCAAGAAAAATGTGAAGAAACAGTTTGAAAGGATGTTAGAGGGTTACAGCTCCATTAATGATCAAAACCTAGTAAGTTCTCTACAGAGGCAGGAAGGTATCTCAGTGAAAAAAGGAAGAAGGCATTTTCACCCGCAGTCTGAAAGATGGAGAGAGGAACCTCGGATACGAGCTGGTCCAAACCCCTCATTTTAAGAATCAGGGAGCTGAGGTCCAGAGAGACAGTCTGCTTGCCCAAGGTGGCATAACTGGTTGGTGGCTGAGCCAAGCCCAGGAACCAGGTCTTAGCACTACGCTTCTAGTAATACAGAGCTACAAAATAGTCTTAACACTAGTCTCACTTACCTGAAGTCCTATTGAGAAATATGGTAGCGATGAGGAGCTTCCATGGGTCATGAAAGAGTGTTTCTTGGACAAGATTAAAAGGGGACCGAGGTGGAGTCCACTTTTTAAACAGTTTCCGTCGAGGTGGACTAAGGGCTAAACAAATACATCATGTCAATGTCAGATACTCAAAGTGGCCGTAGAATCCAACTCTTATATTCCCATACCTTCTTTGTTGTATCTGTTGGAGAAATACTGGCTGGTTTTCCTTCTCTCCACTTGCGTTCGTTGGATGGTGTTTTCTGGAAAGAGAATTAGCACTGGATGGGATGGGGGAGCTGAGTCAGGGAGACCTGAGTTCAAATCCCACCTCAGACACTTTTTAGCTATGTGACCTTGGGCGCGTCATTTAATTTCTATCTGCCTCAGTTTCCTCAACTGTTAAATGGGGACAATAATAATACCACCTACCACTTAGGGTTGTCCTGAGGATCAAATGAGATAACATTTGTAAAAATGTGGCAAAGTGCCATATAAATGCCAGCTTTTAACATTATTTAGAAAATTAATAATTAAAGTAAATATGATAGGAGCAGAAACAATAAAAAGGGTAGGCAAACTGCCCAAAGCACTAATGATGACTTAGCTACCATACGGGCATAGGAACCTGCATAGCTATGGTGACTGAGCAAACCTGTCTTCCCCAAAGGTTTAAATGCTGAAGGGACTGACCCCAAGGGAGTGACTCAGCAGTCAACAGGACCTGGGCAGGCCTCTTAGTTCCTAGAAGGCAGCTCGTGACTTTTACAGTGTTATCAAAGCTCTCCTGAGAAGTGTCTATAAAACTCATACATTTACCTAAATCCCTACTTAATATGAGTAACAGCTGACAGTCAAGTCCTCTCACCCGAAGTCTAGCTCCTGGCGGTAACAGCCCCATTAGCAGAACACAGGTAAGGTGTTCTAGTCCTAGCGTCAGAATCTCAGAGCTGGAGAAGGCTGCTGAGTCCGTCCTGGATCTGAACAAGGATCCATTCTACAAAAGCCCTGGCACGTGACTCAGCTTGGAGAGGCCTGCAGGGGCTTCTGCTCGACCCACTGGCATAGTTGTAAAGAACCTGGGTGACCCCCACACACCACAATGGGAGGAGGCCCATAGTGGGCAATGAGGTGTTCACTGGTATCCTAATGAATAAAGAAACTACTACAGAACTGCTTAAAAGGAGTCACTTTTTTTTTCTTTCTTTTTAGGCAATTGGGATTAAGCGACTTGCCCAGGGTCACACAGGTAGTATGTGTCAAGTGTTTGGTCTGAGATCGGATTTGAACTCAGGTCCTCCTCCTGACTTCAAGGCCAGTGCTCTATCCACTGTACCACCTAGCTGCCCCCAAAAGGAGTCACTTTCAAGGGATGATGTGTGAAATCTCTTCTCCACTGAGGCATCCTAACAGTCAAACCACTGTTAAGCTCTGTTCTCCATATCAAAACAAGACTGCAAAATAGAGATGACCCACATGATGACAGTCGTCAATTATTTAAAGGAACGTTTCAGAGCAGTTATATTAGAAAGTTAAAGAAAAAAATTCTGCATGATCTATAATATAGCAAAAATTTGTAGATAAAACAGTATACATTGAGGTATAAAGAATGGCAGAGAAGAAAACTGACTTAGTGGTTCATATTGAATAAAATGAGGCATAAGACCCCCAAATCCTAGCCCAGGGGGTTTGCTAAGAGTGTGGAAGATGGAGAGGAGGGCGAGTTGGCAGCCACGTTCCACTCCCTGTTGGTATTTGTAATCCTCAGAGAATGAAGCACAGCTCACTCGGGAATCCCCAAGAGCCACTGGGGTGGGGCAGGTGGCAGGGGTGGTTACCTGCTTAGACATCCTCCAGGGAAAGATTAGAAATGGTAACTTATCTAATACGAATATAATGGGCTACATTTGTCTAAGACTGTGTTTTTTTCCAGATTGTCAAAATGAAAATCCTGTCATAGTCAGTTATAATGTGTAAATATTTTAAATTATATTAGGAAAAAGAAAAAATCCATGAAATAGTGAGTACACTGGGCACCTGTGGTACAGAATGTTTTTGAATTTTCTCCAGACTCTTAAATTCTAATCAATGTCCAGGCACAGTGTACCAAATTCTGTAATGGCAAACCTTAACAGCTCCCCCAAGGAAATTTCAGCAATTCTTGAAAACTTAAGTATACCTTGAAATGTCGTCACAAAAGTCAAATCTTTTTCATCTTGGGAGCTGCTAGTGTCTATTTCAGAATTACATTTTAAAATGTCAGCTTGCAAATGCTCCTTCTCTTCCCCAGTTTCTATAAAGGTCCTTTCAGATCCTACAGAAATGCGCCCACTCTTTTCTTCATATTCTGAAACTTCACTGGCACATAATGTATTTTCTGTACAAGAAGCTCCTTGTGCAGCAGGCATTTGGGAATGTGAGCCTGAAGCCAATACTTTCTTTATCAGTTCCTTTTCTTCTACATCTGTCACCTTTATATGCTCGTCACTCATTCCGTCATCAGAAGAGCACAGGGGTTTCTCCAGGTGATCATCATGTGCACTAGAAACAGCTTCTTCACCAGATGCTGCCTTTTTTTGTCTTCGAATGCAGCCAGAATGACCTTTCCCTCCCCTTTTCTTAGCTTCCTTAATGTGACTCCCTTTTGTAGCTGTTGCCTTTCCTGTGGGCTTTTTCAGATTCTGAGAGCCAATGACATCAGCACCCTTCTGCAGCCTCTGGTGGAAAGTGAAGCAAGACAGTTCACTATTCTGGTCCTGCACCTGTGAAACTCTACACGCGGGAGGAAGCACATCTTTTTCTTTCCTGCGAGGCATTGTAAGCTTCTGCTTTGGGCTCAGGCAGCTTGGCTCCACCTGGAACTGTGCTCCTAGAACTTCCACGCTGGGATATGGGGGTCCTGATGGAGGGTTACTCTTGGGAGGGGCCCGGAAGTCAAAATCCTGTGGCTTAAGAGAAGTCTCTCCACTTTTGTGAAGGTAACATGCAAGTAAACTTTTGGATTTGAGCTTCACTCCTTCAGGGCTAGAAAAGGAAATAAAGAGAACTGATTCACTGATGATTATCAACAACTTAAAAAGAGAAATGAACCGGATTTGAGCTACTTAATCAAGCATTCCCATTTCAAGACCTGTAAAAGGCATTTAACTTTTACTGTTGAAAATGAATGAACTTTGATTTTTGAGTATTTCCATTCAAGATAGGGAGTGGGGAGAAGGGAATAAGCATTTATATATATAGCACCTACTGTGTGCCAGGCACTGTGCACTAAGCATTTTATAAATACTATCTTATTTGATCCCCACAACAACCCTGGGAGGTAGGTATTATTATTATCCCCATTTTACAGTTGAAGAAACTGAGGCAGATGGAGGTTAAGTGACTTGCCCAGGGTCGCACAGCTAGTATGTATGTAAGTGTTCGAGGCAGGATTTGAACCAGGTCTTCCTGACTCCAAACACTCTATGCCACTGTGCTACTGAGCTACCCTAGGTGGTTTCAAAGATCTCAAAGTATTTTATAATACAATAATGTAGGCCTAACCTTTGCCTTATGACATAGGCAAAAAAAAAGAAGGAAGGAGAAAGGCATATTATTAGCACAAAATTTCTGTTCTTGTATTTATCACCTGCCTGGGCATATCACATACTTGGTTCTAAATAAATGTTTGCTGAGTGAATGATTTTTAAAATTCCTAAAACCTAATTAATTAATTAATTTTTCGTTTTCAACATTCACTTCCATAAGATTTTGAGTTTTAAATTTTCTTCCCCCCCCACCAAGATGGCGTGCAATCCGATATAGGCTCTACTTATACATTCATATTAAGCATATTTTCCTATTAGCCATGATGTAAAGAACAATTAGAGCTAATGAGAGGAACCACAAGAATGAAGCAATAAAACAAAACAACAAAGGAAAAGGAGAGCAAATAGTCTGCTTCCATCTGTATTCAGACTCCATAGCTCTTTCTCTGGATGTGGATTTCATTTTCCATCATGAGTCTTTTGGAACTGTCTTAGATCCTTGCATTACTGAGAAGAGCCAAGTCTGTCTAAGTCAGTCATCACACAGTGTGGCTGTTAATTGTGTACAACGCTCTGCCGATTCTGCTCATTTCCTGACTGACTTATGAGACATCTTATCTACTTTGTTTACCTGATAAAATAAACATCATATCTTCCAGCTGTTTTTCCAGATAATCTTTGCTTCACAATCCTTTTCCAACCACAAGGAACAGACTTAGAGCACTCCATGATAGTGCCACCATTGCACTGAGTGCTAGCATTAGGTTCCTCTAACTGGAGAGGTATTTCTTCTCTTTCTTCATTATCTCCCATTTTCTTCAACTCCTGGGATTTAAACTTACTCACTGAAAGAGAAATGACAAATTACTGGGCTTACTCATTCAATTGGGAACATGAATCAGTGGTTATTCAGAGAAAAGCAAGAACCCCAGTGATTATTTGGATAAAAAGAAAGACTCACGTTAAGGGCTTGTCTATGTTAGAAGACTCATCTTCGTGAGTTCAAATCTGGCCTGAGACACTTACTAGCTGTGTGACCCCTGGGCAAGCCACTCAACCCTGCTTGCCTCAGTGTCCTCATCTGTAAAAAGAGCTAGAGAAGGAAATGGCAAACCACTCTATCATCTCTGCCAAGAAAATCCCAAATGGGGTCATGAAGAGTTGGACGTGACTGAAAACAACTGAAACACCAATGTCACGTGGAGAGGTCTGGGCTTCAGGTCTCCAATCTAAATAACAGGCACCACAAATACTCCCGATTATGAAGTCTCAAATTATTTGTCAGGATCTTTTGTCTTGTTTTGTTAATGAAAGGGCAGTGTAAAAATTTGATTAAATTTCACACAAGTTTAAGAATGCTTTACAGATAACCACTAAATGAGACAATCATAAACTACTGGAGATGGAAGGCAGCTTTGAGATGTCCATTTTTTTCACTGTACAGGGAACAGCCTCTGAAGTAAATGACTTGCGTAAGGTTGCACAGCTAGTGACTGGCAGAGCCAAGCCTGAACAGTTCTCCAGGGCTCTTTCCACTATGCCAAGTTTTGGCTGATTTTAAGAAATGCCAATATTTTACAGTTGCTCTTTAAGCCAACTTTATTAGAAATCTTTTCAGCTAAGCATAGAACCATGTACCTTTTCTAACCTGGATAAGACCTCAGTTCGCTTGCAGACTAATAAGCAAGACCTCTAATACCGTGATGTTTCTCTCATACCTGTCTACCTCTAAAAAGTTTACTTCATAAAGCCATTCTTGGATGCTGGAATGCAAGAATGCTCTGAACGTAACAAAAAACTGAAAATAAAAAGGGCTTAGGTTGTTACAGTGAAAAAAAAAACAGAACACTACTGGATTAAGTCAGGAGACCTAGATTGAAGCCCCAGCTTTGTGACCTTGGATAAGTCTCTCTTTTCTAGACTATTTCATATGAAAAAGTGGGATGAATTTAAATGATCTCTAAGGTACCTAACAATGAATCTAAGACAAAGCTGGACCTAGCTCAAACCATCTGTCACACCTGCTAATATTCTCCCCTATTTCCCCATCTTTCTGACTCCTATAGCATAATTTAGCTCATAATTATATGACAGTGCACACATAATTACAAATACCATTGGCTACAGTTTCATAGTTGTAAAATGTAGAGATGAGACTACATGAGCTCAAATTCTCTTGCATTCTAACAGTCAAAGGATCTATTAAGCTGTCCCCAGCCCAAGTGCCAAGGCCTCTCTTCCAAACCACGCTGATCTCCTAATTCCTAAGTCCTCTATCAGGAGCTCACACCTCCTAACGACACTGGTCCTTTCCTGGTTTCAGATTCGAATGCCGCGTCCGGCTCAGGTGCGCTGGGTAAGGGGCAGGGACCGCACCAGCTCCTCCTTTTTCTGCAGCCCCCGAAGCCTGGACACTTGGGCAAGCACGAAGGTAGCCGGACTCGACGGAAGGGGCGGGCCGTACCAGACGCCCCAAGGCCGGGCTCTTAGTCCAAGCTCGCGGAAGGAGGCCGAAGAGGAAAGCGAGCCCCGCCACCGGCGAGCCCAGAGGATTCGTCCGTCACCCTGGCTGGGCTGCGAGGCAGAGAAGGGAGGAAGCGGGGAAGAGAGGGGGCAAAAAAAGGAAGCTCTAAGCGGGGCCGGGCCGCTTGGGTGGAGGGGGCGGGGCGGGGTAGCTGTGCAGCCGCGGGGGCCTGGACCCACCCCGCCGCCTCCAGCCGAGAATCCCCGAGTTGAGGAGGAGGAGAGTCTGCCTGTTAGTTCACTGACACTCTTCTCCCGGGGCTTCTGGGCGGCGCCATCTTAAACTGCCTTGCCGGTCACATGATTAGGGGCGGCCGCCTCACATCTCCCGCCAGTTACTCGTTCACTGCGCAAGCGTAGGTAGCCTCGGCGCCTACCGTCCCGAACCCACACATGCGCAATTGTAGCTTGACAGTCTCATACGCACAGATTTCATTACGTGGGGAACGCTCCCCGTGTGCATACATGTGTGTGTCTACGTCTGCGCGTGTATAAGTACGGAGGGATGGCTGTATTTCAGAAGGGGCTTCGTCCCACTGCTCCGTTCTTTCTCTCATTTTCTCCACTCTCCCTCAGATAGTTCCGTACACACGCGCAGTTCAGTAAGCCCTTATCCCGCAGGCGCCCTCGGAACTTCTGTGTAGTCCTAGGTAGCCTGCGGGACACATAGCGCATGTGCGTGGCCCTGGGTAGCCCGTGGAACTCACCGCGCATGTGCGTTGTCCGGGGTAGCCCAGGTAGCCAAAGTGGCTTCCCGACGGGCGCCTGCGGTTTGGGAGGGGCTGAGAGACCCAGGGCCCGGCTCGGGGTCCGAGGGGAGCGGCCATGAGGGCCGTCCTGACCTGGAGAGATAAAGCGGAGCAGTGGTGAGCCGAGGGGAGGCCCAGCGGGAGGGCGGGAGCCGCAGGAGCCGGAGGCGGTTGGGAGGAGACGCCTCGGTTGCCAAGGACTCCGGGTCCGGCTGCGGGCTTCGGGATGCTGCGGGGGAGGGGCAGAGGAGGGGAGGGCGGGGGAGGGGCAGAGCCGAGGGCTCCCCAGCTCGACCCTCCCCTCCCTGGGCCTCAGTCTCCTATCTGTAAAACGAGGAAGTTGGACCAAGTAACCCCAGATACCCCCTCCCTTTCGTGGGCCTCAGTCTCCCCATCTGTAAAATAAGGGAGTTGGACCAGGTAACCCCAGGTGCCCCCGCCCTTCCATGGGCCTCAGTCTCCCCATCTGTAAAATGAGGGAGTTGGACCAGGTAACCCCAGGTGCCCCCGCCCTTCCGTGGGCCTCAGTCTCCTGATCTGTAAAATGAGGGAGTTGGGCCAGGTAACCCCAGGAGACTCCCTCAGCCTCCTACCAGCCACGCTCAGGCTCCTCTCTCTCGTCCTCCTGGGAATCCCCTCTCCCCCCCTTTCCATTCCTACCGTGTATTACACTCATATGTGCATATGTCCATTCCTCCAGTAGAATGTGAGGCTGGTGGGATAAAGGGCAGTGTCAACCAGGATCCATCAGTGAAAAGAGACCAGGGCTTGTAGTTAGGAAGGATCTGGATTTTAATCCTTTCTTCCATACTTATAATTTGGTGACCAAGGCTGAGTCACTTAACCTCTAACTTAATCTCAATTTCCTCATCTGTAAAATGGGGCTGACGGAAATAATGTTTTGTATCTTCCCTAGGGCCATGTACTTAAGGAAATCTTAAGGAATATTTCCAGGCTGGTTAAATATTATTTCCCCTCAATCTGTGTTCCAGTCAAATTTGTTATTCCCAGTACAGGACTTTGCACTTCCCATGGATGGGTCTTTGTGGGGGACTTTTCCCCATGCCTGGAATGTTCTTGCTTCTCACCTTGGAACTCCTTGGTTCCTTCAAGGCTTACCTCAGGCACATCACTCCTCAGAGAGGCCTTTCCTGGGTCCCCCAATTGTTAGTTTCTACCCTTCCCCCCATTGCTTTGTATTTATTTTGTCTTTTGTATTTACTCTTTCTACTTGTTATTTCCTCCAGTAGAATATAAGTTCTTTGAGGACAGGAACTGTTTCATTTTGGTTGCTGTATCCCAGGTGCCTAGCACAATGCCTCTGGTACATAGTAGGTGCTTAATAACAACAACTAGTTGTTGAATTGAATTTTAAGGCTTTATATAAATGTTACTGTCATGTTTGTAAAATACTTCCTGTCACAAATAATGCTTTGTAGTCTCTCAGACATAGTAAACCTTTAATAAAGGTTGAGTAAAATTGAATTCATTTTCCCTGACATCCCTTTAATTACACTGTATGTAGAGCTGGAAGAAGTCATTTATATACCCTTTGCAAGGTTTGGAAGGCAAAGTTTTCACAGTATCAAATGCATCTTGACTTAGTCACAAAATAAATACCTAAGTGATAATGGATAGTAGAATTTTCTGGTAGTAAAAATATTAATAAAGACTAGTATTAGAAAGTGTCCCGTGTGTTATATCATGGGTGACCCAAATGACATTGTAACAAAGCACAATTGTATCTATTGTCTTACTTGATTCTCATAGTAGGTAGCCTTCATAGCATGGTGATATAGTGCCAGACTTGACTTAACTAGCTGAGGGACTTTGGGCATATTTGTTCACCTTTCAGACCTTCGGACAACTCTGAATCTTATTTAATATGTTATAGAAAGTCCAGCTGCACCCCAGTGGGTTCTTTGATCAAAACAAGTGTTATCCCCATTTTACAGTAGAAGCAACAGAGTCACAGAGGTGAGGCAGCTTCTGTGTTCTTAGTCACATGGAATAACAACGAAGTCTTGGAATCATAGGATTATTAGAGCCATAAGGTGTAATGCAGAACATTATTTTGCCATTTAGGTAGTAGGGCCCTTTAAGCCATGGAAAGCAAAAGCTGGTGCTTAATCATGCCCCAGACCTCTTTCCTCCTAAATCTAAACAATAGCGAAATGTACTCTTGCATAGCTCAGCATAGCCCCTACCTCCAACTCACACGAATAAGAAAGCTTGCAATATAATTGCTTTAGATAATTGTGTTTATACCAGAGACCAGGACGCCTGGTCTGGTTTGTGTGATCCCTGACCCGCAATGATGGGATGCTCGGGTGCTTGTGCTTGTACTTGTGCCCCAATTTCTCCCTAGTCTCAGAAACACCGTTTCTAACAACCACTCCCCAGCCCAAGGGCACTGTGCCCAGCAGTTATTCATGCATGGGCCACAGCATGACCCTTATCTCTCTCCCTGGTACAGCTACACACAGCTGGGCTGCTCAGGCCCCAGCCCTCACTCAGATCATGTCTCTGGAAGCCTCCCAATTCACTAGTAAGTTCCTGTGTTGTGAGAAAGCTTTCCCTTGTTGCAGTGCATTCTTTCATCAAGACAGAGGGAGAGGGGTGTCCTTGGCCAGCCCAAGGACTTTTCCTCCTGCCAGACTCCAAAGATCCATCCCCCTCCCTGTCCGGTATACTCCCTGTACTTTCCCATCCATAGCCCCCAAAGACACCTGCACCTTTGGATTACCTCATCAGTGTTCCTGGCATTTCTTTCCCATGCTCTTTTCCATATAAACCCTAGCTCGACCCCTGATGGGGGCTGCTTGATTTGGTGTGCATACCCCTTGCAGCTGTGTGCTAATAAATCCACATTTTAAATTATGTCTGGGTCTTGCTCGCTGATTTCTCGGTACAACAAAGGGACCTTAGCGATTATCTCTTCTAACTCTCATTTTACAAATGGGGAAACTGAGGCTCAGAGAGGTTAAATAACTTGTGTGTGATCATACAAGGAATAAATAATAGTTGGGATTCAAACCTAGGTCTTTCTATCCCAAGTGTTGTATTCTTTCCTCTATAACAGACCAGTTTCCCCTTAGACATTGCTTTGATTGAGTCTATTCAACGCAATAAGCATTTATTAAGGCACTTACTTTGTGCAAGGTGTTGGGAATACAGAGATGACAAATTTTTTCACATGCCCTTGAGGATTTTACTTTCTACTGGGGGCACAGTTTATATACAGATGAGTGAATATAAAATATGTACTAAATATAACCAAGGTAAGGACAAAGTGATTCTGGAGTTGAGATATGCTCTGATGCACATCACTCATTTCTGGAGTTACAGGGGCTCCCACTTGCCTTTCAGACCTACATCATTGGGACCTTTGATTGACACCCCCCAACCCCCAACTGCTCTGTAACACCGGTGCCTGCCCATCAGTTCAGCTAAAAAGTCTGCTTCCTAACTATTTCCTCAATATGTGCTGTTTCTTTTAGCTAAAATAGGCTTCCACTTTCTCTCTAAACTATTTTTTCTTCCTTAAAAACACTGCTGAAGTTCCCTGCAACTGCCAGAATTTATGCGTAGCTGTGATTTTTTTAAGCATTTCTTTTGTGTTTGGAATGTGTGTGCAGTATACATCTTGCTTTCCCAATTAAATTCTAAATGCCTCAAAGAGACGCTCTCCTTTCATTGAAGGAAGCTTTTCCATCACACCTGTTTCTGTAGTGAACAGTTCTATTCCAGACAAGTCACGTAGTTTTCTTTTTTTCCATTGAAAAATTGAGAACATCCTAACTTTCTGACCTTAAGCAAGTCACCTTGCCACTCTGGGCCTCAGTTTACCCCTTCAGAGTGAAGGAGTTGGACTAGACGATTTCTAGGCCTTTTCCATCCCTAACATTTTGTGACTCTTTTCTGTGATATACATGTGCAGGATGCAGCTTGGCCAGGTTCCGTCAGGTTGGGAGGGGGTGTTGAAGAAGCTACTACGGGCTGTATTTGACAGTATTATATGAGTGTAGGATTGGAAGAGGGTCTGTTTCCCTCTAAGGGAGTTGGATGGAAAAATGCATTAATTTGAAACTGAAATGGATTCAACTGAAACAATCCATGTGCTTTTAGACATGTGAAGACTGCTCAATTATAAAATAAGTGGCTTTGTAAAATACTGAGCTCCCTGTAATTCACAGTGTTCTAGCAGAGCCTGGGTGGTCATCTCTCAGGGGTGATGTGAGCCAGGCCTGACTCAGGCCTGTCAGGAATTCCTGACTGGAGCGAATGAGACACATAGACCTTCTAGCTGTTAACAAAAGGAGATTTACATACTTATAGCATGGAAAGGATACTCAGCAAAGATACAGCATGGATTCAGGTGGGTTCAGTCCCTCTAGTCTCTGTATGGAAATGCTCCTGGACAGCAAGTTATATTCGGTTAGTCACTTAAACGTTAAGTACCTGCTATATTCTAGGCAATGTACTAACCATTGGGGATACAAAGAAAGGTAAAAGACAGTCCCTGCT